ATTACTAGCAATAAATTTTTGAAGAAAAAATTATTATCAGCAATATATTCTTTGAAAAAAATATTACCAGCAATACATTTTTGGAAAAAATATTACCAACAATAAAAATCTTGTCGGCATTAAATAACGCATTGAGGTTGATAAGCCGCAAAACAAACCAAACCAAACCAATTTATATCCGTAGTTTTCTGGGTAGCGCATGAGGAAGGACGAGATAGAAACTTAAACTTACAATCAAGTTTCATGAATATATAATGAGAAAAAAAGCCTGGAAACTTTAACACGCATAAGGCCTACTGAAATCAGGTCGTCGTGGGTAAGACGATAAACTACTTCTGACAGCAAGGCCTCTGATCAGGAGGTTTTGAGGAGCGTGGAACCACCTCTTAACCGGGGTGGTAGCATCTGTTAGGGTCCCAGCTATGGGCAAATAGTTAACTCCCAGACACTATGAAAGTGTAAGAATAGGTTTTAAACCAGAAATACATTTTGTACAAAATTATTACCAGCAATACATTATTACCAGTAATACATTATTACCAGTAATACATTATTACCAGCAATACATTATTACCAGTAATACATTATTACCAGCAATATATTTTTGAAAAACATATTGCCAGCAATAGATTTTTGAAGAAAATAAATATTACCATCAATAAAAAAATGTGTCGGCATTAAATAACCCATTGAGGTTGATATGCCGTAAAATGAAACAAAACAAAACTATTAGGGTCTCAGCTTTGGTCAAATACTTAACCCCCAAATTGAGGTCAAGACGCTACGAAAGTTTAAAAATAGGTTTTAATACCAGAAATACATTTTTGTAAAAGATTATCACCAGCAATGAATTTTTGAAGGAAAAAATTATTACCAGCAATAGATTTTTGAAAAGAATATTACCAGCAAATCCATTTTTGAAGATGGTTTGGTTTGTTTTGTTTGTGTTCAACCTCAATGGGTCATTTAATGCCGACAACTATTTTTCCTGGTAATATTTTTGTTTTGTCAAAAATCTATTTCTCGTTATATTTTTTTCCTCAAAAATGTATAGTTGGTAACATTATTTTTTCAAAAACGTATTGCTGGTAATAGTTTTTTTTTCTTCAAAAATGTATTGCTGGTAATATTTTATAATGCTTTTTACCTCAGTTTCGGGGTTAACTATTTGCCCATAGCTGAGACCCCTAACAGGTGCTACCTCACCGAGTCAGGGTGAACCGGGGAACACCAGCAATTAAGAGGTGGTTCCATGCTCCTCAAAACCTCCTGATGAGAGGCCTTGCTGTTGGACATAGTTTATCGTCTTACCCAGGACGCGGATGCAGTTTATCGTCATACCCAGGACGGATTTTTTTAAGAAAAAAAAATTAAAAATTAATAGCAATACATTTTTTAAATAAAATAAATGTTACTATCAATACATTTTTGAAAAAAAAAAGGATAGCAGTAATACAACGACTGAAAGGGAAGATTTCGTCCAGGGTTGTTACTGTGGTGACATGGTTGTCATAGGTTTTAGCTCTGTATCCTCTTCTCTATCATGTCATCCGTGTATTTCTGAGGATGAGTAGGCTCTCTTGGTTTAAGCTTCAGTCAGACCAATGGCGATGTTTTTTTTTTTCTTTCTTTAGAAATCTTTTTGGGCTGGCCCATTGTCACCGTGTCCAATGGAGATTTCACAATCTTGGGAACAATTTCACAGAGAGAGCGAGAGAGATTAAAATAGCTCACTTATGTTTAATAGACTAAAAATTACGAAATTACGTCATTTAGCATTTACATAGTTTTTTTTTCCTTCCACAGTAACTCTTTATAAACAAAAACAATTTTTTTGCTATTCTCTGCTAGCCACAATATAATGTTTAGGCCGGAAAATATTGTTAATACTTTTTATTACAATTAGAACATTCACTTAAATTTTGTTTATATATAAATAACGTATAACAATAAAATTTATTAAAATAATTGTCTGATTTAGTCCATTTCGTAGTGTGTGACGTCATTTGTTTATGTTAAGATACGTTCCGAGCAGATATGGACGTTCGAGGGAAATCATGGGAAGTTTGTAGTTTAAAAGCAGTAAAATCGACCTTGTTAACCAGACGCTCCTCTGTAGCTAAACTGCTATAGCACGTCAGGCTATATGACGGTTCCGTGTAGGATACAAGTTCGATTCCTGTCGGAGGACACATATTTTCTATGTAATTTCTCGGACGTTCAGGCCGGTAAATGCTGTTAATACTGATTAATATAAACAGAACGTTTATTTAAATATTGGTGTCTATATAAATAACATATAAACATTAAAATATATATGTGTGTCTATGTGTTTTTAAGGCAAATATTATTAAAAAAAAAAAAACAAATATTTTGTGTTGATTGATCTCATTAATCGAATTTTCAAAATTACAGATAATCTTTCTCTGATAAGAAGAAAATTTCCTTTAGAAATTGTCCGAAGTTCATTTTAGAAGAAAAGAACAAAAATATGGTCTAAGCTTTCGAATTTCTTACGCTTTTCTTCCAAAATGAACTTCGAATAATTTTGGACGGAATTTCTTCCTTGTCTTAGAAGAATTATTCGTAACTTGGAAAATTCGAACATTAAAATTAACAATCAAATATATATACAAGCGTCTATGTTTTGTTTTCTTTACGGTATACCAAAGTCAAAGTTAATTTAATGCCGACAAGATTTTATTGCTGGTAATATTTTTTCATTAAAAAATGTATTGCTGGTAATATTTTTTCCTTCAAAAATGTATTGTTGGTAATATTTTTACTTCAAAAATGTATTGCTGGTAATATTTTTTCATTAAAAAATGTATTGCTGGTAATATTTTTTCCTTCCAAAATGTATTGTTGGTAATATTTTTTCCTTCAAAAATGTATTGTTGGTAATATTTTTTCCTTCAAAAATGTATTGTTGGTAATATTTTTTCCTTCAAAAATGTATTGTTGGTAATATTTTTTCATTCAAAAATGTATTGTTGGTAATATTTTTTCCTTCAAAAATGTATTGTTGGTAATATTTTTTCCTTCAAAAATGTATTGCTGGTAATATTTTTTCCTTCAAAAATGTATTGTTGGTAATATTTTTATTTCAAAAATGTATTGTTGGTAATATTTTTTCCTTCAAAAATGTATTGTTGGTAATATTTTTTCCTTCAAAAATGTATTGCTGGTAATATTTTTTTCTTTCAAAAGTGTATTGCTGGTAATAATGTATTGCTGATAATAATTTTTTTCTTCAAAAATTCATTGCTGGTAATACTTTTATTACAAAACCTATTTTTACATTTTCATAGCGTTTGACCCCAGTTTTGATCTTAACTATTTGTCCATAGCTGGGACCCTAACAAGTGCTACCACCCCGAGTCAGGGTGGACCTGGGAATACCAGCAATTAAGAGGTGGTTTCACGATCCTCAAACCATCTGATCAGAGGCCTTGCTGCTGGATGTAATTTATCGTCTTACCCAGGAGGCTTTATCTGTGGGAGGGTCTTAACCCTCTGCAGAGTTGCAGTCGGCGTATTATGAAGCCCCAGCTGTTGTTTGTTTTTGATTTTGTCAACTGCACAGAATAGTAGGGTCAGTTGGGTACCGTCTGTAAGGGAAAAAGCGTCATAGCGCAATTCGCCAGGAATTTGGAAACGACATACTGCACTGCTTGGGATACGAACATTTCAGAGCGTTTCGGTGCCAATCTGAGGACAGTGGAGAGGATTTGGAAAGAGTTAGATGAGTCTAATGGTGACCTCTATCAGTTCGTAAAACTCACTCTGATCGTTCTGATAAGAACACCCGAATTTGTTCGTCATGACTGAAAATGATCCCTCTGAATCAATCAGATCCATAGCCAGAGAGGTAGTGCTGCCCTGAGTCAAGAGGGTGGCTGCTGGAAGACCCGAGGTCAGGCAACAGAACCCTGCACAATGCCACGCCAGCAGGAGAAAAGTCAGGGTTTTCAGACAATTTCTGCAACCACATCACCCCTTACATCTAGCCACCTAAATCCACAGACTGCAATTCTCTTGATTACTGTGTTGAGCGAGAGAGTAACAAAATATTTTTGACACACTTTCCACAAATATTAAGACATTATAAATTTTATGCCGCGACGTATGCATTGGTGATGGTACTATGTATAGAGGCAGATCATTAAAATTTGATTTCCATGCCTTGGAATCGTATTGAAGTATCTTACAAGTCATTCATCGTTACAATTTCAACTCTAACCTATACCTATATATATATATATATATATATATATATATATATATATATATATATATATATATACATTACCTCGTATGCGTTGGTGATGGTACTATGTATAGAGGCAGTTCAAAATGTGATTTCTATGCCTCGGAATCGTATTGAAGTAACTTACAAGTCATTCATCGTTACAATTTCAACTCTAACCTTATACCTTATATATATATATATATATATATATATATATATATATTGCCTCTTATTGGGGGATATGAGGTAATTTTGCATTTTGTTATGTAATACTATTCATATGCTCTGTTATAATAAATACATTGTACTCTTTTTGTGGATCGGCTTTAATATTTTATATTACTAGGATCCACTTGGATTAAATACCAATATCCTTGTAACATCAATGACGAACTGAAGGCAAGGATTATGCCGAGTAAACCGTCCAGAAGAGTGTTTGTCTTCATTCATTGCAGGAATTTAACCAACGAAGACAAACACGCATATATACACGGCTCACATCGTATCAACTCTCAAAATTCTATGAAAAATGAGCTGTGTATCTAAAAACTTCACGAAATAAATAAACGAGAAATAAAAACAGTTCTAATTATCAACATGTGCCTACTGAGAGACGGTTAGAATATTCACAGTGTCGAATTGGCCGACGCGATTGGGCGTTCCTCAATTCTGTTGAAACAAAAAGTCAGTAAACAAAGATAAAATACTCGACATTAATTGGCCTTGTTTCATGTATTGTCTAAAGAATATGATATGTGAAATGTTTGCGTGTTTAGGATTCTCATGTCTAAACCTGCACATAGCTGTATATACTGCTCCATGGCACAAATAGAGACCATTAATTTACTCGAAACATCCTTTTATCAAAGGTATATTGGCATTTAATTTAATTTACTGTCGACTGAATACGTAGAGTACGAAGAAGTATATCTATGAAGTCTTTCTTTTCTTTTCTGAATAGATTCATTGCTTGGTGTATTTAGCTGCTAAAGATTAATTAGTATGCTACACCAATTTGCCTTTTGATAGCAGTTAGAAAATTACTCTTCCCTATTAACATTGCAGACACACTTGCCTCTACCAAAAGGGCCGACGCCTCCTTGTATTCGGTTTGGTTTGATTTGGTTTGGTTTGGTTTACGGCATATCAACCTCAATGGTTTATTTAATGCTAACAAGATTTTTATTGCTGGTAATATTTTTTTTTATCTATCTATCTATCTATCTATCTATCTATCTATCTATCTATCTATCTATCTATCTCAGTATATTTTGGTTTGGTTTGTTTTGGTTTGTTATACGGCATATCAACCTCAATGGTTTATTTTTGCCAACAAGATTTTTATTGCTGGTAATATCTATCTATCTATCTATCTATCTATCTATCTATCTATCTATCTATCTATCTATCTCAGTATATTTTGGTTTGGTTTGGTTTACGGCATATCAACCTCAATGGTTTATTTAATGCTAACACGTTTTTTATTGCTGGTAATATTTTTTTATCTATCTATCTATCTATCTATCTATCTATCTATCTATCTATCTATCTATCTATCTCAGTATATTTTGGTTTGGTTTGTTATACGGCATATCAACCTCAATGGTTTATTTAATGCCAACAAGATTTTTATTGCTGGTAATTTTTTTTCCAAAAATATATTGCTGGTAATACTTTTTTTCTTAAAAAATGCATTGCTGGTAATATTTTTTTCCTTCAAAAAACTTATTGCTGCTATTTAAACCTATTTTTAAACTTTCATAGTGTTATGATACCAGTTTGGTGGTTAACTATTTGCCCATAGCTGGGACCCTAACAGGTTCTATCACCACGGGTCAGGGTAGACCTGGGAACACCAGTAATTAAGAGGTGGTTCCACGCTTCTGAAAACCTCCTGATCAGAGGCCTTGCTGTTGGACGTAGTGTATCGTCTTATGCAGTATGTGAACGGATTTGGGGGTTAAGTATTTGCCCATAGTTAGGACCCTAACAGGTGTTGCCACTTAAGAGGTGGTTCTACGCTCCTCAAAGCCTCCTGATCAGAGGTCTTGCTGTCAGACATAGTTCTTACTCAGGACGCAGGTGTAGTTTATCGTCTTATCCAGGACGTTGTATTCGGCTTACGGTCATATCACGTAAGATCATAGAAACTGAGCCTGGTCAGGTACGAATATGGATGACTGTTTGGGAATACCATTTGATGTAAGCCTGGGTGTGCGGCTGGTGCGATAAGGGCTCTGGATTGGAAATCGGAGAACTGAGCTCCAATTTCAGTCGGATTCGTTATATTCAGTTACGCGTAAATACGCTTAAGAAACGTATGAATCTATCTCTTCTCCCCAGCTATGGATTAATTAGTACGACCTGTATCATTAAGTCGTTATTATCTCCCAAAACATTTCTTACACTCTAAAAATATTTTCTGGATTTAAATAACCCTCAAAAGATAAGCATTAAAAAATAAATGAAGAAATAAAACCCTTGTATTTGCGTATAATGTTTCAATTTGGCAACATTTTTAAACTATTCTCTGCATTCTCTACGTATACTGTATTTATTCGTGTATTAAACTGACTCGAGCATAATACGCAACCTTAACTTTAGAGAAAGAATCGAAATAATTCCTTGCAGTTCCCAGGTAGTAAATGAATAAAACTTGCTTTATTATGTGTTTAAATACATTTGTTTTTTATTTTCATTCATTTTTCTTCATCGCAACAACTTGGAATATAACAAAAACCTTCTTTCCTCATTATATGTACCGGAAATTTCAAATGTCTCTTGCTGATTTGTTTTTGTTTCGCGTTTCAAGATTCTCTGTTTGTTGCCTTTCGTGTTTGTTTGTTTGTTTGTTTGTTTGTTTGTTTGATTGACTGTTTCTTTCTTTCTTTCTTTCTTTCTTTTCTGCGTTTATTTTTTTCATTCCTTTTTCATTCGTTCTTTCTTTCTTTCTTTCTTTCTTTCTTTCTTTCTTCTATTCTTTTATTCTTTGTTTGTTTCTTTCTTTCTTTCATTCTTTGTTTCCTTGTTTCTTTCTTTCTTTTTTTATTCATTCATTCTTTCTTTCCTTGTTTCTTTCTTTCTTTCTTACTCCGTTACTTTCTCTGTTTTATTTTTCTAACCTTGCTGTTCTCAGGCAGTAAATGAATAAAAGTTGTTTTATCATTTGTTAAAAAACAATTTTCTTTTATTTTCATTCATTTTTTTTTTCATCCCAACAACTTTAAATATAACAAGAACCTTCTTTCATCATTATATTTACCGGAAATTTCAAATGTCTCTTTTTGATTCGTTTTTGCTTAGCGTTTTAAGATTTTTCGTTTGTCGCCTTTCGTCTTTCCTTTTTTTCTTTCTTTCTTTCATTCATTCTTTGTTTGTTTCTGATATGTCCCGGAAAAGGATATATTTGTTCGAAGTAGCAAAGTGGTTTTGGCTACTGTAACCGGACAGGACAATCTAGCAGGTAACCATAATGGACTGGTCCTCGTCGTAGTCGTAAGCAATAGGCGTAGGCAACAGACGAAAACAATAGGCGTAGCCAATAGGCGTCTTCCAGTACCTCCACATCAGTCTGTATTTATAGCTGACACCAGCCAATCATATTACTGTGAGGGGGAACCCAGGTGTATGTATATTCATTACATCAGTTTCTTTCTTTCCTTCTCCGTCATTTTCTCTGATTTATTTTCTCTATTCTTTCTTTTCTCGGAATTGTAGAGACTCAAATGCTGATTTCCAAGGTTTTAACTAGTTTCCATCTTTGTTAAGCTTACCTTCGTCCGGCACAAGGCTCAATGAAGAAGAGAGGATTAAAACGATTTCTTAGGACGTGGAAGATCTTATCTCTCCACAACATCTTTATTTGTAAGCAATATTCGTCCCAGTACGATCCTTCCCACTCGCTTTTCGACAATCTTTTTACACAATTTCGTTAGGTAAGTTACTTGATGTTTTCCTCAGTCCCGCTTTGTTCCGTGAATGTTAAATTCGCAAACCTTCTGTTTGGGGAAGCTAATTTTTCCTCTTATAAAGGTCAATAACTCAAAATACAATTGAATTACTTCCCTTGTCCGCTAGTCGGAGCGAGCACTTCTGAATTCAACATGGTGATAAGCTGACAGACAAATGGAACTCATGGTTTAAATTCAAACAAATCCTTGCTGTTCTCAGACAGTGGAATAATAAAGGTTGTTTTATTATGTGTTAAAACTTGTCTTTTATTTTCATTCATTTTTGTTCATCCTCGGATATGACAAGAACCTTTTTCGAGACTCTCCGTTTGTTGCCTTTCGTGTTTGTTTCTTTCTTTTATTCATTCATTCATTCTTTGTTTTTGATCTTAGTGAAAAAGAGAGTCTGTAGAAAAACGATCTAGTGTATAAAATCGCACTGTCTTATAAGAATTCATAACAGCTAAATTTCGCCTAAATCGACGAAAAATACAATTTTCTTTGTTCAGTTAGAATTTTTTAGACTATCCGAAGAAAGATTTTTATGGTGCCATAAAATCTTAACTATTTTGGACAAGTGTAAATTGGAGCCCGAAATAGTTTATTTCCATAGAAAATTATGGCTTCCTATTTCAATTTTATATTTTCATAGTTATCAAATATATAAGCTTTAAAAATCGTCCGAAGAAAAAGAGAATCCTTATTGGGGATTTGGTATTATCGAAGAACCCAAACCATGACAGGCCCCAACCCGGTTTTGGTCAGTGTCCATATAAACGAACGACCCCAGAGAGTGAGACAGTTACAGTTGAGTTAAGTTGGGTTGGAGATCGAAGACAGATCGACAAAGAGCTGTTGAGCTCGGAGACTAGCTTCGCAGGAGCTGACCAAAAGATTTCCACGCATTCCGACTTAGACTTCTAACCAAAAGCAATTTTTTTTCTTTGAAGAACGACTTAGACTTACACCACCAGAGCAAGTTTTAACGAATATCGCCTGAAGATACCAAAAAGCAGTTTATTGAAAAACAACTTAAGATATCAAGACTCGCTTAAGAAACGCAAAGTGTCACGAATCCATAAAAGAAGCGGGCTGGGAGAAAGACGCACTCCTGTATTCAGCAGACAGATATAAAGATACTTGTTATTTTTTAACACATTTAAACCTCTTGAGTTTGTTTCATTATTTTTCTTTTACATACACTTGTGCGGTATCACCCTTGCCCCGGATTCAGCTTGCACTACGGCCCGACGATTGATTGATTTCGTCTACCTAAGATCAAATCACAACGTGAGTAGGTTAGACTAGAGATCTAAGCAGTTACTTCAATAACCAGAAGTTGGAGGCGACCTGGAAACGACAAGGCTGATATCGAATCTAACCAGACATCGACCGCGACCAAGACAACCAGATGGGTTTGTGCCACACATGGTTCCGTGGTAAACCAGATTTCCATCCGAACCAGCCATGGGTTAGATCGTCACAGATGGTTCTGCAGTCAGCCCAGGGTTACATGGCGTTACAATTGGCGGCCGTGACCAGGACTGGCCGGTGGCGTCACAATTAGCGCCGCGACCAGCACAGGAAAAGACCAGGGTGGCGTCACAGCTGCTTGAGATACCAAAATCAAATAAGTATAAAAAATTAAATAACTGGGAAATGTTCTAACAGAAGACGGAATGTGCAACCCGGAAATCCGAAGATTGAAATAGTCAAAGATGCATTGCAAAAGCTAATCAGAGTATTAAGAAACAGACAAATTTCGTTATAAACAAAGAAAAGACTACTGAAATGTTATGTGATATCAGTCCTATACAGCAGTGAATACTGGATAATCTGGTACCGAATCAGCAAGCCGCTCCATCCAGAGCACTAGAAGCCGGTTCAGGCAAGGATATAAAAGCGATAGAAATTAGGAGGATTTGAGATAATTATAATGAATAAATTACTTAATTATAATGAGCGGCTTGGTGATAGTAGTCGTGGCTCGTGGGGGAAGAGTCCTATGGGTAAAAAAGAAACTCGGATGAGTTCCACCTACGGAATATGTGATCGAGTGGCGCTATATCGAGTCTGATTCGCTACCTCTTCGTCGCTGAGGCCCGCTGATGTTTGCCTGATAACGTAACTATCCGGGTTTCAATTCTCGGTAGTGGATGCGCACTGCTGATGAGTCCCAAATATTGGACGAAACGGCCGTACAGTGCTTTCTGCATTCTGTTGAGGTTTCTTCTAGACACGATGAATTACTTAATTATAATTATCTCAAATGCTCATAATTTCTATCGCATATATCAAGGATGGCCAACCTGTTGCGCATTCGTCATAAGTGGCGCATTGGATGCTTACAAATGGCGCATTGCATCCTTTTGATGAAAAGAAACTAAGACACTTCTACTCATTCATTTCAGTGATTTTATATTTATTGCACATCCTTTGCGAAAGTGCTAAAAGTTTGATTTGTGTTTGTTCCATTTCTTTTTGTTAAAAATGGTGACGTGGTCCTTTTGGTTGACTGAGTGCTTAACTAACTCGTAGACTGGATTGTGTTCTAAAATGTAAAATATGTCCATATTACAACACGTACTGAAAGGAAGTGAATGTTTGTGTGGCGCATTTAAATTAATCCTACAAAATATTGGCGCATGGAATCGAAAGGTTGGCCACCCCTGGCATATATATATATATATATATATATATAAAAGAAATATGTAAAATAGCTTACATTAACGGCACAATACCGAGTTTGAGGCCGAAGGAATTTTCAAGGGCCGAAATTTGCTGTTGCGCAATTAATGTAAGATATTGTGTATATTTCTTTATATATATTAAATACCTCTGTAACTTAACATTGAGCACGGTTTTGAGCAGTATAGAGTATTTATATACAATCGCGTGCTCGTATACCTACCTATATTTACCCATTCGGCGATATATATATATATATATATATATATATATATATATATATATATATAAAAAACAAGCCACTCACACAAATATATATATATATATATATATATATATATATATATATATATATATAATTCATATGTAAAAAAAAAAAATCACGATGCTTCATTTTCTTTTCCGATATTCAATAAATCAATGCAGTAAACCATTTTAGCGTAACCATTTTGAAACCAAAATGGTTTCAAAATGGTTACGCTAAAATGGTTTATATATATATATATATATATATATATATATATATATATAAAAAAACCACTCACGCAAAAATAAGCGCCAGAACAGATTACCCACAATGCACCACTGACCCATATATATAAATTCGTCGAGGAAAAAACAACATTCGTGGCCTGACGATTGCGCCTAGCATGAAATAGCCTGTCGCCTCTGAGTATTGACTTCAATGTTCACTTATATATATATATATATATATATATATATATATATATATATATATATATATATATATATATATATTGTGTATTTAAGCAGCATTCCTTCTTTCATGAAAGTTTCATTAATTATGACAGAAAAGATGCTTTGATTTAGTTTTTTATTTAATTTTTCATGTGATCTTGTAATTTTCTCTTTTCAGTAGATAAATTATATAAAAACTCTCAAAATGCTGACTGAAAAGAAAAAAATTATAAGCTCAGTGGAAAAATTATATAAAAATACTTAATCAAAGCACCTTTAGCAATAATCTTTTTTTCTTTTTTTCAATAATCTTTTTTTCTTTTTTTCAATAATCTTTTTTTCTTTTTTTCAATAATCTTTTTTTCTTTTTTTCAATAATCTTTTTTTCTTTTTTTCAATAATCTTTTTTTCTTTTTTTCAATAATCTTTTTTTCTTTTTTTCAATAATCTTTTTTTCTTTTTTTCAATAATCTTTTTTTCTTTTTTTCAATAATCTTTTTTTCTTTTTTTCAATAATCTTTTTTTCTTTTTTTCAATAATCTTTTTTCTTTTTTACATAAACATTTTTCTTTTTTACAGAAAACTTTTTTTTTCTTTTTTCAGTAAACTTTTTCTTTTTTACCAGTAAACTTTTTTCTTTTTTACAGTAAACTTTTTTTCTTCTTTACGGTAATTTTTTTTCTTTTGTACAATAATCTTCGACATATTCCCACTTTTTCACGCTATATACTTTTCAATAATACTTTTTTAAAAGGTTTTTTGTGCTTAACGAGTCCTTTTCATTATTTCCAATATAAATAATGGCGAGGTTTTGTTAATTACTTGCACAATACTTTTAAATTTCGGTCTATTTCTGTTGAGGAATGCGTCGTAAACATCCTTAAAGAATTACTAAAAAAAAAAAAGAAAGAAAAGAAAGGAAAAGTCAATGGAAAAAAAAAGCATAGATACAGAGACCGTATTTTAACGTCGCTGATATCAAAAACGCTTCATTGCGTGGGTCGTATGTGTGGGATACAAAGGTACAGTGAAAGAAAATTGCTAAAATAAAGTCCTACCTTAATCCTTTCTCAAATGCACGCTATTTCTCAAGTCCAGTAACTGTTATCGTTCTTTCCAGTATTGATGGAGGTTTCCTTCCTAACCTTTTTTTAGAAGTACTATGGAATGTCAACATCTTTAATATGTCATTATTTTCTCTTTCGGTTGAAATTTATAAAATCTCTCTCTTAAAACACTTTTTTAGCAAAACAGGTTTCTCAAGTCCAGTAGATGTTATCGTTCTTTCCAGTACTGATGGAAGTTTCCTTTCTAACCTTTTGTTTGAAGTACTGTGGAATATCAACATCTTGATTTTGTCATTATGTTCTCTTTCGCTTGAAATTTATAAAATCTTTCTCTTAAAACACTTTTTTAGGAAACAGAGAGAACTTTTTTTTTTTCGAATTCGGCAATGTCTATATACGGATATTATCACGTGACTATTTCGGTCCCACGTGATTACATATCTGAAATAATTAGGTTGTTAAGATTGTGACCGCCAATAATGTGTCCTAATATGACTTCTACTACACTCAGTATATCTATATCATCGAGTCTCAACAGAATGCAGAAAGCACTGGACGGCCGTGTTCGTCCTATATTTGGGATTCAACAGCAGTGCGCATCCACTACCGAGAATTGAAACCCGGTCAATTACGTTATCAGGTAAACGTCATACCAACTGAATTACTTAATTATAATTATCTCAAATCCACCTAATAATTTCTATCACTTGTATATCCTTGCTTGAACCGGCTTCTAAGGCTCTGGATTGAGCGGCTTGGGGATAGTAGTCGTGGCTCGTGGGGGCAGAGTCCTATGGGTAAAAGAGAAACTCGGATGAGTTCCACCACGGAATATGTGATCGAGCAGCGCTATATCAAGTCTCATTCGTTACCTCTTTCAATTCTCGGTAGTGGATGTAGATTGCTGATGAGTCCCAAATATAGGCCGAAACGGCCGTCCAGTGCTTTCTGCATTCTGTTGAGGTTTCTTCTCAATATATATGCGCGGTACTTATTGGAAAACGCTCAGTATTAATGATAGAGCTCACATAATAAGTATGAGTTTGTGATCACGTGTTTCCCGCTTTTGTGATTATAAGGCAAACTTGTTTATAAATAGAATTACAACTGCGTATGTATGTATGCCCGAACGCATGGATATGTATCTGCACCTACCCTCGAATTGCCTATATGGATGTGTTAGTGTGAACTAAAATGCGTACACCTGTATGTATGTATCTATGCGTGTGATAGTGTCACCCGGAACAAACATAAAAGTAGATTCCCCTCCTGTCATCAAACAATCAAAAAATAGATCCAATTTTAAAAAATAAACTTGTTTGTCTGATGATCACAAAATGTGAAACCAGTCACAAACTCATACAACATTAATATATATATATATATATATATATATATATATATATATATATATATATATATATATATATATATTATTTTGGATTGATGTGAGTTTGTGACCCTGGGTTTCACGCTTTTCCGATCGCGCATATAATATATAAATAATTATATATATATATTTATTTATATTTATATACACACACTTTTCACACACACACACATATATATTTATATATATATATAAATTCAGTGATTTATAAATATAAGTGTAGTTGTGGACTCGACTACATAGGAAGAACGTCTCAATGTTTGGATTTGAGAATAAAAGCAAGACTTACCCCACTCTCCAGGATTTTGAATCCGGATGCCAGAAAAAAGCCAACTAATATATATATATATATATATATATATATATATATATATATATATATTCTAAGGTTTAAATAAGCAGCTCTAAATAAAGTTTGCCCAAAAGTAGACTTCTGGCATAAAAGTGCTCTATCCCATAAAAATGGCCGACCATTTGAATAATAACCAGGTAAGCAATGACTGGCCACTACTTTCATGCGTTTACATTCTTCATGTAGCCAGTAACTTGCAGTAGTAAGATGATTACCTTATATACCACCATATATATATGTATTATATATATATATATATGTGTGTGTGTGTGTAATTTATATATATATATATATATATATATATATATATATATTCAGTAAATTTGAACAACACTCGTATTACGGTCTTTTGACGCTATCTGTTTGAAGGTAATAGTAATACCAAAGTGTGGGCTCCATATTGAAGCATCATATGCAAAGACGTCAATAAATGTAATTATCTTAGGTGAGTTGTAAAAGAGCAGCTGCGCCACAGAAATCCGATTTGTATTTGGATTAGTAAAAGATGCATTCATGAAGATAAGCAAAGTAATAAGATTTAGGAAAATTTCTTAGAAACAAGGAAAATACTGGTGAACTATCATGTAATAGCAGTGAATGTCAGAGAATCTTCTCACGAATGAAAAAGCGACAGTGATGAGATTCTAGCGACAAATGCAGAAAATATCAATAGACATGACAATGCGAGAAAGATTTAATGAGAGTAGGAGTTATGAGGAAACTGATGCTAAAGAAACTGATGTGATATTTCTGGGAAGAATTATGAGGAAAAAAGACTTGGAGAATTTAAGACATACAGGTGGGAAGAAAAGCAGGCGAAAACAGCAGCTAACGTATTTAATGATTCTGTGCGAAAGGATGGAAGAACCGTGATACATAGAGAAAGGTAAAGATGCAAAACATATAAAAACAAAGGACAAGAAGTTCTGGAGAGCCACAACCTGAAAGGATATTACATATAAAAGACGACCGGTTGTGTGATGCTGGGGTCTACTTTGATGGTAGTGCTGGAGACTACTATATAAATCTGGGTAATTGATTTCTTTTTGGGAAGCCCACATACACACGAACACGCGTAATATATATACAGGGTGTCACCAAAATGTATACCCACAAAAAATAAACTAAAGGGTGTATACATTTTGGGACACCTTTTGTATATATATATATATATATATATATATATATATATATATATATATATATAATTATTATTATTTAAAATATAATTATTTATTTAAAAATATATATATAATTATTTATATATATATATATATAAATTATTTCTTTAAAATATATATAACTATTTATATATATAAATTTTTATATATATATATAATTATTTATATATATATAATATATATATATTTATATATATATATATATATATATATATATATATATTTTTATTTATATTTATATATATATATAATTATATATTTATATTTATATATATATATATATTTATATATATATATATATTTATATTTATATATATATATAATTATATATTTATATTTATATATATATATATATATAATTATATATATAATTATATATTTATATTTATATATATATAATTATATATTTATATATTTTATATTTTATATTTATATATATAATTATATATATATATTTTATATATATAATTATATATTTATATTTATTTATATATATATATAATTATATATTTATATTTATATATATATAATTATTTATATATATATATAAAAATATATATAATTATTTTTATATAAATATATATAATTATTTATCTATATATATAATTATTTATTTAAAAATATGATTCCAACACGAATTTTATATATATATATATATATATATATATATATATATATATATATATACTTTGGGGCTGTTGATAGCTATGCTAGCACGAAGTCACAAATCATAGTGGCCATGGCCTTTGCGTGCTGGCCTTGTTCAAATTGTTGATCACGCCGCTAGATAACACGCTATTTCCCAGAAACAGTAACTAAAGTCTGCTCAGCATAGTTGCAGTATAAACCACAAATGTGCCTTAGCGAGCGTCTTCAATAGGGATTGGCTAGCCACCCTAGAAGACGAGTATCCTCGCATACGAGTGCCCAGCTGAGAATCCATTACTTTCACTTACGTGCTAATACCCTTGGGAAAGGTATGAATCCACTTCTTCTCCCCCCAGCTGTGGGTAAATAGCAGGACAGACTGGTTTCTACAGCTTTAGATGGCAACTGGTTTAGGAGAAGGACAACTCTGAATTCAAAACCTGCAGAGGGTCGTTTGGGGACCCTGTGGCACGTAGTGCACCAAGTCTCTGTATTCGGCCCTTCAAAAAGTGTGGATGGTCCTGCACGAAACCTTCACCACTATAATCAAATCTCATGTGCTGTTGTCGGGCTGTCAGTTTCCTAGGAACTGATCTGCTGGACCCTCATACGTCGAATTCGACGGGAGAGTCGTATATATATATATATATATATATATATATATATATATATATATATATATATATATATATATATATATAAAAATTAAATAAGTCCGACAATTATTTTAATATATTTTCTGTTTATACGTTATTTTTATAAACAACAAATATTTGAGTAAATGTTCTGCTTATAATAATTCGTATTAACATTATTTTTAACCGAATGCAAACAATTGAAATTAGCTAAAATATTAATCCTAATTTAAACAACAACCAAAAACTTTTTTTAAATCACTTGTGCGTGAGTTTGTATATATACCCTTGTACAAATTAATTGAAACAAAACGAATAATTCCGTTATTATTTAATTTTTTTCGTATTTTTCCAATGAAACATGACCCAGTGCACAT